GAGCCTCCTGAAACTCATCCCCAATAAGCCTCAGAATCACTCTTTTTTGACACAGACATCTGGGCATCCCTCGCCCCAATGCATCCATCCTCAGCCCAACACCTCTTTTGCCTTCTTCTTTATAAAAAGTAATCTCAGGGGTTTTTTCCCCAGAATGTTTTTTGCTCTAGGCCTTTCAGATGTTGTTTTAAAAGCCCCTTTCTGGGCTTTCTGGTAGGTCCCTCATATTAAGTCGTGAGTTGTGTGGCAGCTGAACCAAAGACAGCAAAGAGACAAAGACACTCCTGAAGCTAACAACTCCAACCTAGCTAAATTAGGATTAACCATTTAGAAGTCATCGCTGCCAGTTACAGGTCACCCACTCAAAGAGTGATTATTTCTCTCTTTTATGCACATTTATACTTTGTCCCTAGAAGATGATTCATCTCTGGTGGTAACAGCAGCACAAGGAAACAGTCTATTAGCCATGAGTTCTTATTTATTATTATTATTTTTTGTTTGAGACATGGTCACATTCTGTCACCCAGACTGCAGTGCAGTGGTATAACCATAGCTCAATGAAGCCTCAAACTCCTGGACTCAAGAGATCTTCCCACATCCTCCTCAGCCTCCTGAGTAGCTGAGACTATAGGTGCACATCACCATGCCTGGCTAATTTATTTTATTTTTTGTAGAGACAGGGTATTGCTAGGTTGCCCAACTGGTTTTGAACTCCTGACCTCAAGAGATCCTCCCACCTTGGCCTCCCAAAGCACTGGGATCGTCAGCCAGCTGTAAATTTTTTTTTTTTTTTTGAGTTGGAATCTCACTCTGTCACCCAGACTAGAGTGCAGTGGCCGCTCCCGGTCATCGCAGCCTCGACCTGCTGGGCTCCAGCGATCCTTCCGCCTCAGCCTTCCAAGTAGCCGGAATTACAGGCATGCGCTACCACGCCCGGCTGATTTTTTGATTTATTGTAGAGATGAGGTCTCGCTGCCCAGGCGGGTCTCGAACTCGCAGGCTCAGGCAATCCACTCACCTCAGCCTCCCAAAGGGGCGGGATTACAGGCTGAGCCACCGAGCCCGGCTCAGCTGTAAATTTTTAAAAGATTGGACTAGGTCTGGGATGAACTAGGTTTAACCATTTCTAAACTTCTAAGAAGCAGATGAATAACTTAATTTTTTTTAGCACATCTTAGACTCTGGATACCACTAAGAGAGGTTATTCCAACTCTTCTGTTTTGAAACCAAATGTGCTTGTTAAATTCCCACTGAAGGTACTATCAGTGTACAAAATGGATCCTAGCGGCCCTAAACTTACATTTGAGACATGGTTAAACTAAAGGCTGGATCTACTGATAAAGCAGCTCATGAACATTTCTCCAGGAGAACCAACACGAAAAATCCTATCCTTTCTTTTCCTCTTTCCCTGTATTCTGTTTCTTTTTCTCTCTCCCATCTTCTAACAGAGTGAAGATAAAGACGCCTTGAATAGGTTCAAAGAATAAAGCTGATCAAAAGGAAGGAAAATTGAGTTCACTGTTAACTATATTTTCGCTTTCCTGATTTTGTCAGGCAAAACCAATTCTGGAGGCAAAAGTGGAAACAAAGCCCTCTGGATGGTGTATCCCTTATTAAGACCGCAGACTCTGTTTTCCAGAATGAGGAGAGTATATAAAGTTGGGAAGACAAGTTTTTGCCATTTGGAGATTGGATTCTTCCCCATGGTCAAGGGGAGGCGTCACCTTTTCAGAGTTTGCATGCTGCCCTCTCCTGGCCTGTATATACAGGAATGTGACAGCACATCAAATGTATTTATTTTAATCTCACTCCTAGGTGTGATGTACCAATGTACACATGAAAGTTTATTTAAAATATTCAGGACCTCTCATCAAAAGTTTATAACTGAAGCTAATTTGGAGAGATACATTCGTGATTCCCTTGGCTCCTGGATTTATATTTATAGACACCGATCTTTATACCATCTCACTTCATACCCTTATTGCTTCCATCGTCTCACTCCAGCCTCTTAACTGTCACATGGCTCTGGCACTGATCTGCAAATCAGGGCTCCACTCAGAGCTGGGTCCTGTCCATGTGCTGGCTATTCAAAGACAGCTTTCCAATCAGAAGTGATGGCAACGAGAAATCTGCTAAAGGCATTGGTCAGTGTTGAGTCCAAGAACTATATTTTAGCCTAATGTGATCAAAATTATTTCTATATGTTATCAGGTCAGTATGTCCAATTCACAGAAATTGAAGACATAGGAAGAGAAGCAGTTACTCAAAGTAGTAGATGGCATCACAGATCTAATTTATAATTGCACACCTTCCCCTTTCAAAGGAATTTGTCTTATTTGTTGGTCCTTTGATTTGTTTCAAGTCCAATCCTGGGCATGTTTACCCTGTTGAATAATTGATTATTTTTCTCCATAATACTTAAAGGATCCTGATACTGAGAACTTGCGGCAACCAGGCCTGATTGCTGTAGCAACACTGAAGTACAAATGTGTCCGGCCTAATCTGTTGAGTGCCTGTGCCTCTGAAATCTCTCAATGTCCTTGACCTAAACAGGCCAGTCCTTTCCCTATCAATAAGAACTCAGAGTTTAATACCATTCCTTTGCTTTAGAAGAAGAGGTCTAAGGAAAGGGGGCTTATTTTAAAAAGATTTAAAGGCATGTACCTTGTTTAAACTTTACCAAACTTATAACTTGAGAGTATTTAAAGTTCTGACTGGTTCTACTAAGATTCCTAGAGAATGAACTTGTGATTGCTTTTCTCAATGAAGAGTGATAGCACAAAACAATGACTAATCAAAGCATTGTTTATATTTATCTTTGGAAAGCCATCAGTGTCTCCTAGCCTATACAAAGTGAATGTATTCGGTCTCACACTCACTGGGTTTTCACCAACTTGCCCAACACTGCTTTAGAGTTTGAAAAAGGGGAATGGACCCCAATTTACTGCAGCTATTATATTCATAGAAGATTGATAGATGCTCATAATCTTATAAAACTATACTTTAACTACTAATAGGCTTCAATTGGGTCAATTAATTTGTATCTTTTTAAACAGGTAAAATTTTTACAATCAACTTCTTTTTTGATGCAAAAGGAGATAAATACCCATCTATGAAATCAAAATGTGGCTGGGCACAGTGGCTCATACCTGTAACCACAGCACTTTGGGAGCCTGGGTCAGGATGACTGCTTGAGCCTAGGAGTTCAAAAGCAGCCTAGGCGACATAGCAAGACTCCAATTCCAAAAATAAAAATAAAAATAAATTAGCCAGGTGTGGTGGCAAGCGCCTGTAGTCCCAGCTACTCAGGAGGTTGATAAAGGAGGATCACTTGAACCCAGGATTTAGAGGCTGCAATGAGCCGTGATTGTACCACTGCACTCCAGCCTAGGCAACAGAGTGAAACCTTGACTCAAAAATTTTTTAAAAAATGTTTACTCCTAAATATAATATTCACTTGCCATGTCTATTCTTTGACACAATTTCAAATATACCCTGTTAGATCATTTAAGTCGGTTAATGGGCAAAAATATGACGTTTTCATGACTCCATGGTAGAACCAAGCATACATTTCTCTTAATGTCACAAAGACCATGATTTTTTAAAAAAGTCAATATACAGTCTCCAGTATGATATGCAAGACAAATACATTTCTTACAACTTTCTTATCTTCCTTGGTCAGGCATATGTCTTTGGAGAAGGACTGCCCTGAAAACCAGGTATTACTGAATGGTGAGTTGCTTGAATTGTCAAGGGATGGTTTGAATATGAATAAGATCAACTAAGAATTCAGAGAAGAGGACTGTTTAGATGTAAGGCAGCATATTTGCTCCTGCACCTGCTGCAGTGCCACTCTCCTGTTGAACTAGAGTCCTAATCTGTGTATTTTCTCCACTGCTGCAGAAAAAGTGCCTTTTCTAGTCATTCAGAGCACTTGAATACCAGTACTTGAGGATTGCCCAAAGCAAGACCCGTCTTTTAACTGAGTCTTCATGCAGTTCCCTACTGCTTTTCCTGGGAAAGACTGAACTCATTAAGTAATGTTAATTTAATCACAAGTAATCAACAGGGGTGTCAAAATTATATAACCGTCTTCAAAATTCTGAATCAAATGTGATAAAATTCCAGAAAATTGGTTTTTTGCTTTCCCCCCCCCACAAAACCTGCACCTCAAAATAAAAGAAATAAGGAAAGAAATAGGCAGAAGCCCACCAGTTTTAGGATCAAATAAATTCGAGCCAAAAATTGAGTTTACCTTACAAGTATCATATTTACCACATAGTTCTCTTATGACTTTTTAATGTAGTAATACATGAGATCCCGGAACTCACTGTGCCTAGGGCGCAGAATACAATTGCATTTTCAAAGTCATAAGACAATGCAGAAATAAACCAGGTACGCAGGAAGGATCATTGAAAAATCACATTTAAAAATGTCTGTCTCCCTTTTCTCTTTTTCTCCTTCAACCATAGCATAGCGATACAGTGATAGTTCACTCATGAGGTTCATCCACCTTGGCCATAGGCTTTAAAAATCAAAACCATGCCCAAGTCCACTGCGGTCCCAGGCAGGTGGGGAACGCACAGACTGCTTTCTAACAATTCGATGACGTTTGACTTGTGATAGGTCATAAGTATCATGGAGGTGGAGGTCACCAAGCGTATTTACAGGTTGCACGACAACATGCAGAGATTGATATGATTTTTGAGAGAGAGAGGGAGAGAGAGAGATCTCACAGTCAGGTTGGATCCTAGTCCAGTTCGAAGGTCCTGCCTGGTGTTACACCCACGCATAATTCGACAGCCATAGGTGAATAAGCCTCGTGGCCCCCCAAACGCACGCCCACAGCTTGAACGATCTGGGGTGAATCGGGCGAGACATTCCCCCGGCGCCTGTCCCGGCCGGCCTCGGCGCGCACCAGGCCACTTGGCCAGACGCGCCTCGCCCCGGGAGAAAGCAGCCGCGCGCCTGTGTCCGAGCCGTCGTGACACGCCGCGTACCTGCAAGGACGTGATGGCAGCCTCCGCCTCGGGTGCCTTCTCTGCTGCCTTCCCTCCACTCGCCCCGCTCGGAGTTCGGCAGTCCGCGGCGGGCTCTAAGTTTGGTCTCCCGCGGCCGCGTCCCGGGTGGCCGCAGACGGGCTCCAGCAGACGCCCATAGGAGAAGCGCGCCCCGAGGGTGCCCGAGAGGCAGGCGAGAGCGCCCCGCGCCGCGGCCCGGCCGGCTGCGCCTGCAGATGTGAAGGAGCCCGGAGCCTTAGCTCTGACTCCTCTCGGCGCTGCATGGGGGCATTATCACGGTCTGGGATTTCTATTGGCTCCGAACACCAAACACATCACACCAGCCACCCCCCCTTCTCGGCTTCACTCAGCGCTGGTTTCTCATCGAACCCACAAACGTTGCAGCCACACACACTTCAGTCGCTTGCAATGTTTCTCTTTTCCTCCTTCCAGTCGGTGGATTTACAACCTTGTGGTCAGCGCTAACCTTTTTTTTTTTTTTTAGCCGACTTCCAAGCCAAGCCTTCTTGTTTATGTAGAGGAATTCTCCCTCCCCTAAACCCGCAAAAACCACTCATTCCCTTCAGATCTTCTTCCTTTTGTTGATGGGTTTGCAATGTGAAGAATGTACAGAGCTTGTGGGTGATATGTCTGACATTCTCACACACACACATACACGCGCACACACGTGCCCCCGCGCGGGCGCGCGCGCACACACACACACACACACACACACACACACTCCACACACACACACACACACACACACACACACACACACACACATCAAGCTCCCTTTGTTATGAATAACTGAGGCCAGTGAAATTAAGGGCAAGCTGAGTCTAATAACTTAAGTGAGAGCTTAACTAATAAAATCTTGAATGAATTCAGCGCACAACACTCATTGCTTGAGTTAGATTTCTGTTCCAAATAGTGCTTTGGCCATTATTATCCTGATTTTTTGTTTATTGAATGCAGAGGTTTCTAATGCAAATCAGACTCGTCAGCATCCAGAGAACATAACACAATGACGCCAGACCAATTCTTGTGCTCCCTGGGCTTGGTGTGTTATATCAGAAGCGTCCTGTGACGCCTGCCTGCTTCCTCCTTTTATTAGTTTTTCTTCTTCTCGCCACTGATCATCTCAAGACTGAGACTCGCTTCGTGCCATTCACTAGGCAGAGAAGACTATTCATGCTCTGCCCTGATAAAGTTTCCTGGATGAAATTTTTTAATCTGTATGTGTCAATAGAGATAAACCTTTGGCCCCTCAGCAGGGAACGGGCCCAAGAAAAATCTTCTGAGATCTTACAAGCTTGGCTAGAGAAATTCAGAATAAAATAAAGTTTCACTGTGTTTTATAAAGCAGATTCCCCCTAGTCTTTCCCTCAAAATCAGTTTCACTGGTTGCTTATGGAAATTTTAATGGCAGTTTTTCTTGACAAGAAGCCATTGCTTCTGAAATCACTGAGCTCTGTTTTGATTTTTTTTTTTGTCTTAAAATTGTTTTTCCACCGTTATCCCTTTTATATACTATTTAGTATTTGATGTTCTGGTTCCCGCCCAACTCATAGTACATTGCGTTGCAAAATAGCAGGAAATAATAATTTGTTCTTGACATTTATTATCACCAAACAGACTACCTGCTTTCTTTTCTTACTTGTGCATGTTCTGGGCATTTTGAAATGTAGTCTGATTTCCAGAATGGGCCAACCTGAAATCAGCTGAAATCGACAAAGGAAATACAAAACAAAACCACATTTGGCTGTTGGTTTCTGCGAACCACAGTCCAACCTCAAATGGCATATCTTTATTACTTTAACAACTCCAATTCATTCCCCTTCTTTAGGTAGGCAGTTAAAAAAATAATAATACTATCATAAATCTTTGAGGTGTAGAGTACATTTCTTCTAAAGATCTCAACAGTCTCAGAAAGAAAGGAGTTATAGGTCAGATTTTTCAGATTTTCCAGGTGCGGAAACTGAGATAGAAAATGATAAAGTGACTTGCTGAAGGTAGACAGCAAACAGAGCTGAGAGACTGGATAACTGCTCTGCTCTGTGTCTTTCATACAAAATACTCAGCTCAGAGGAAAGTGAAGGGTTAACACAACAGATTCTGATTCCTGCCTGCCTTTGCACAAAAAAGCTAACAATTCATGAAATCATTTGTCCAACTTGGTAAATAGTCATTTTACGTATTATTTCAGAACATGTCATGATATTGTCAGATAAGTTAACAATGACTAGCCTTAGAATTATCTTTCCAGAAAAAAAGAAAAACATTGATATAAACAAGCAGGTCATTATATTTTCTACGTGTTATTTTCAGGGCTCATTATAGCTCTTCACATCACTGGAAAGACACTGCAAGTAAAATCATGGATAACTTACAGTCAAAGATATATCTTAAACTTCATTTTAGATAATAACTAAAGCCCTCCTTCCTCCAGTTAATGAAGAGTAAAACTGGATGATTTAAGGGACACCTCTTACATCCAATCAGTTGTGTGGTTAGAAGAAAATAAATCAACAATATTATTCTTCTACATTTATTCTTTTGATCATTTTGCTACCTTTAAAAGATTTTTTTCAAAGGCATTTATCAAATGCTGTAGCTCAGTATGCTTTTTATAAATGACATAGCCATCAGTAATAATAAAAACTCTCACATTCAGCGTGCACCATGTACCTGCATGGTGGACTGCCACGCAGGTACATGGCAAAACAATCTTATTTTATTTTCCACCCATTCAGTCACATCAGAATCCTCCTGCATAGTTCAGTGTGGCACTTTTTAACAGAAGACATTCACAAATTGGCGTGTATCCAGAGGAGTTAAGACAGTGATTCTGGATGTTATCATTTACAAGAGATGCTGGAGAGAATTAGACATTTTTGTCTTGGAGCAGGGCCTTGGAGTGAAGATGAAAACACATTTTCAAATGTGAAAGAGGAAATATGTCTATTATCCATATAAGCTTCAAACTGTGTTGTTATTTCTATAAATTTTTTCTTGCTTGAATTTTTGAACAACTCTATGAGGGATATAGGGCAACTGTTACTAGGCTAATTTTAGGAATAAAGAAAGTGTGTATAGTTAAGTCACCTGATATAGCCATGGTGATGGTATTAGAGGATGGGAAGAACTTGAAGTGGATTCTAGGCCCAGTGTTGTTCTGGGGAGAAGATAAAATAGATAGGCAAAAATCAGGATAGTGAAGGACTTTTTACAATGAATACTTTCAGCAATTGAAAGAATTTCTTGGCAAACTAATGATTTAGGCCAGGCACGGTGGCTTATGTCTATCATCCTAGCATTCTGGGAGGCCAAGGCAGGAAGCGTGCTTGAGCCTAGACGTTCAAGACCAACCTTGATAATATAGCAAGACCATACACACACAAAAATTAGTTGTGTGTGGTGGTGTGTGCCTGTAGTCCCAGCTACTTGGGAGTCTAAGGTGGAAGGATTGCCTGAGCCCAGGAGGTCGAGGTTGCAGTGAGCCATGATCATGCCTCTGTACTCCAGGCTGGGTGACAGGCAAGACCCCTACTTAAAAATAAAATGATGACTTAAAGATTTAAATAAATTAATTGTAGTGGTCAAGAAAATAACTCACAATCACATAAGAAGATTATTAAAACATCGTTATAAAGGTCAGATTAAATAACCCAGGGTTTATATCAGCTTGAAATCATCTCTGATTTTATCAGCTTTTAGGATATTATAGAATTTGTAATTTCATGGAATGATCTTCTTGGTATGTCATTCAATTTTTTAAAAGGTTATGATTATGATTTAGGTATATTTCAGGACTGTAGATGATTATAGATTTTTTTGCCCTTCTTTTGACATATCTATATGTTCTGTGATTAATATGTAAAACTTATAACAAGAAAAAGAGAATAGAAAAGTAGAAAAGGTTATAGTTCTTCCTCTATTATACAGAAATATGAGATTTCCAGATTACTAGCTTGTTGAAGGCTGACATTGCATTCCTAATATTATAAGCATAGGATCACATTTTTGATCTTGTCTGTTCCTATTCATTTATTTAATTTTTATAACCCAGGTTGGATGCTATTTTAATGCTAATTTTCTCCCTCGTATCTCTTTATTTATCTTAGCAGCTTCCTTTTAACCTACCCATTTATTGATAAATTCATAAATGTTTGTTTAGTCCTTTTATAGTAATAATCATTTTGCTTATAACATCATAGTTTAAATTTAAAATTGCTAAAATTATTTTGATACAAAAAGTTTAAAAATTCTTAAATTTACTGATTATTAATTTATTTCTCCACCACATTAAAGATCTTTATTTTATAGAAAGGCAGAAACTTTGTTAATATTGTATATTTACATCAAAATCACAAAAGGAAATATACATATTTATGATTCGCTGATATGTATGAATATATACTCTTATAGTTCACAAATTTCAATGTTCGTGTGTATTAAATAGTATTTACCTCTCTTGTGTCAGTGTTTCTGCCCAAAATGTATAACAGTGATTTATAAGTTTTTTGTAGCAAAAAATACAGCTCTCACTGTGTTGCAGAATAAACTCTCTGTCCATGAGCGTGCCATCTGTCATGTTTGTGTCACCCCAGTTGAGCAGAGAGCACAACCCACAAACGAGCTTGGGAAATTAATAGGAAAAGGAATGACCATGTATTCAGCTCAAGTCCTATATTTTCCCTTTAGGCCCAGGGAGCAGGTGGTCACGGGTTTTTTTGATTCATTAGCCCATGCTTATTAGGTGTCAGCAAGGCCTCTACACTGTACTCTTAGTTCTGAGATATGGATGAAAAGAGGTGAAGAGGGCAAAATCAGAGTGAAGGGAAGACAGAGCCACCTTTGACCTGAATGTGCTTATGACATAGTAGAAGCAATGGCTACAAGAGATGATTAAAATAAGATTCAGAATGACAAATGTAGCTAAGAATGGCCAGGACGGCCCCATCATGGCATCTGCCACTTCCTCAACTCTTGCCCAGACCTGATAGCCTAGGAAACAGACCTAGATAGTGGCATAGATGGCTATAGATGTATCATATTCATCTATCCCTATGGTTAAAGACACCAGAACCAGACTAGAAGGGCAACTGGACTCAGAGGCAGCCAATCTGCCACTCATGGAGAGATAATGGTAATTGGCTGTCTATCGGATTTCCTTTTTTAAGGAGCTTGAATGAGGGTTCTCTCTCTCTCTCTTTCTCTGTCTCCCCCCCCCCCCCTCTCTCTCTCTCTATCTCTCTACTGTTGGCAATTGATGGTAACAGCATAAGTTTAAAGAATCAGAAAATCAGAGAACAGAGTATGCTAGTTACAGTCAGGGTTAGAACAGGTGTCTGTGAAGATGCATATGAGCAAGAAAAGATGAAAACCAGTTGCTTAATCTTTCTCAGATTCCATGGGCCTTCCCGTT